GAGAGAGAGAGAGAGAGAGAGAGAGAGAGAGAGAGAGAGAGAGAGAGGGTGTGCATCTGATATGTATTCATTACATGCTTCCTGACAACAAATTGCAATTTAATCCAAGAAGAGGAGGCTCTCATTCTGTGGTAATAAATAAATGACTAGCTACATGTATTATATATCAGACAGCCATGCCCTCCTCCTCCTCTGCTATGGAAATCTCATTGTTCCCTGATTTATTCATTCATTCATCCCTTCTATCCATCTGATGCTAAATGGTCAACGGTCCCTCATTTATGACAATATTCTTTTACTTTGTCCTAGATTCCTTTGTACGATTATATGATATGGGATCAGGTATGACATGGGAATTTGATAAAAAGCTATACAAATATTGTAGATATTACCAAGATAGTCACTGTTTAGTGATCATACGAAACTTGTCTCTTGACATTTATATAACATCACACTTAAAAATGTAATTTATTTAAAAAAACACATTACACCACATGAGAACTTACTTGTATTGAGATAAACATCGACTGTCTTACATGAGATCGATTATGTCTGAGACGCATTATAATTTTCCATTTCCAGAAAAAACTATCATGTCGACTTTTTAAATTTGGTTTAACATGATTTAACAGGGAGATGTAACATGCAGTTATAGTAATAGTGGTTATCACTGTAGAGATAAAGTGCTGCAGTGGTGCTGACATACTTGTGTAGGCCAACCCGGAAGCATCGCACTGGTTGCCTCGACAAAAAGCCAATGGGATTTTTCCATCGGATTTTGGATAATTGCAGAACATAAGCTCTGTGGCAAACGCAAGTTTATAATACTTACACATTCTGTTAAGCAAAAACATGAACACCCCTTTTATGATATTGAAAGTGTGAATGCAATTGATGGAAGTGAAATGCTAATGCTAGGATATAAACAAACTACAACATGGTCGCATAAACACGAATATACACAGAGACTAGAACACTATTCTAGTTATTTAGTCACTTGTTAGTAAGTTGGTCTCCTTTTTTAAGACACTTAAAAGCTTCCAAATGGTGTATTTAAAAAAAGGTATTTATTGACGGATTTCTTTTGGTGGAACAAAACATTAAGATATCTTAAGCTTGTGTTAACCACAGACCTTAATTCAGGCATCTAACCAAAAATCCATTCAAAAAACTCATTGACTTTGAGACTGGAAAACTGGAAGTGCAAAAATGCTAACTCATTTTGGGGTTTTAGGACTCATTCCATCAGCATTCTTGGCCAGTAGCTGGCAAACACATTCTGGGGAGCTGTCCAGTGCCGGATCTCTGTGGTCAGGCGTTAAAGAGCAAAACAAGAGATGGTGGATAACGTTGAAGGAGAAAACGTTTTGGAAAGATAGAAATTAAGGAGTTGCAAAAACGTTTTGTTCAGTGACTGGTGGGGACAAATTTGTTCATATTGTGTATATATATATTCACTAGCAGGTACTAGATAAACATTTGCAAAGTAGATTCACTGTCCTTCTTTGACCACCTGTTTGATTACAGCACAGCACATTTTGACCAGATCCGCATGTTTTTCAGTAAATGTACGTTTGTCTCTATAAACTCCTACTGCAGACTTATGGAAAACGCAACGGCTACCTTTTCCTACCATGTAGAGGGCCTTTCACCGTACACCCAGTACATGTTAAGAGTGGTGATCTCGCACACACACGGGAAGACTGTCGGCCCCTGGGCGACCCTGCGCACCGCAGAGGACAGTAAGTTCACAGACTCATACACACAAGTGCTCACATAAAATATAACATGCTGGTTACTCACAGATGCATGCATGTACATGTCTGTTCCAATGCACACAGCAAAAGAGAAACACCATTGATAAATAACCATAAAAAATACATAATTAATTCTATTGGTAGTTGTAAACAAACTTGGTGGTGGTTCAGATAAACACTCTGTTGTTCTATAGGCTACCTGTTGGCGGTGGTTGTTGGCATTGTTTATTCATACTGAATTGTGCAGCCTTGGTGCTTGTGTCAGCAGTCCTGCCAAGTTTTGCAAGTGACTGGCTGGCAGGTGGCTGGCAGCAGCTGGTTATTAGTTGGCCTCTGCCGTCAGTTGGCCGTCAGTGCTGCTGAGTCAAAGTTAAAGTCAAGGAGTCTGACAGAGCTCCTGATTTTAGGTGATGATCTAAACAATAGCCTCACACATTAAACATATGGCCTGTGGTGTGACAAACAGAGCCTCTGCCCAGTTTCCTTTTATTCCGTGAAAGTCTCCAGAGTTTTCTTTGATAAAAGTGTATTCATTTCTTGGTGTTAGTGCAGGTGGTCAATATGATCAAGCCCATAAGGAAGAGAGACAGAATATATTCAAAATAAAACATGGGGAAAAGCAAGCAAGGGTGAAACACACTGACATAGTGAGATTTGCATACTGTAAGGTGTGTGTCTGTGTGTGAGTGACCTAGCCAGTGTCATTGTGGGCTAATTGCTGTAATAGAATCATATTAGCCACTGGAACAGCCTCCTCAGTGCAAAGTTATAAATTAATTAGCACCATGCTATTATCACATACATTATCATTAGGCCGCTGAGATTTGCATACATAGGATACATGCACATGTACACACACAGAAATGTGTATGTACACATGTATGTGCGGTGTAAAAATACAAACATGTTCACATGAACAGTGATGCACACACTCATTCATACACACACAATTGCAGACAATTTAAGAAGCATTAAATTATAGCCCTTTGGTTTTTCTCATTGCGATTCAAAATTAAATTCCCTCTAACAAACACACAGACACACACTGTCAAACAGACTGAGCTTTTGTTACACATTTTTTCTATGTACTCAACAGTTCTAGATAAGGTGGACAATTATTTGTGTTTTTGGTTGTGAGTGAAAACGTGCAAATCTACGTGTGTGTGTGTGTGTGTGTGTGTGTGTGTGTGTGTGTGTGTGTGTGTGTGTAGACAGTAATAGATGTGTCCATTTGGTCACACTGTGCCCCATCGTTCAAACCTCCATCCCTCTCTTTCCCCTCTCTCTGCCTCTCTCCGGCCCCGTCATAAGCCCACTCATACACACACACGCACACACTGAGAACACGTGTCATACACACACACACCTCCTTGTCCTCCTTATCAATCACACACCTGCTCATGCTCACAAGCAGTAACACATACTCATGAAGTTGCATGCTGACAACTTCATCCCCAAAAGCACATACACACACACACTGACACTGTGACAGTTTAAGTATAGGTGTAAAGACAAAAAATGTATCTCACAAAAGCACAAAACATTGTGAAGCTACTTAACCGTGTAGCGACACAACTCAAGAGCCCACATAAGAAATAATGATATATTGTGTGAGTACATCTGATGTATCTGTTTTTCTTTTTTGCCCAAAATGATGTCCGTCTTTAATCCACTTTCATCCCTTTTCACAGCTCCTTGTGTCCTACTGATCTCAATGAATTACTCACAATTAAATGTTAAAATTGAATCTTACAACCAGTCATGGACTTAGAGTACATGCTATTGTGTCTAATCATTTTAAAGTATGCATAGGAAAAAAATATTTTAACATAATAATAGAATACATGATAGGTATGGAAGCTTTCAATAAGAAGGGATTTAAACCCATGATGGGAGAGAGCCAGATTTCCAGATTGGGTTTTTCTAACATGTAATTTGTCACCATAAGCCCATCCTCTCATCATCATGGCATTGACAGGAAAGGCTGCATTCCCCTCCTAATCGTCTCGCCCACACGCTTCAAATAATGACAACCTTAGCAAGCACTTTTACAGTTTTTTCAGTATGATTTCATGTATTGTAAAGCCAATAGTTATTATGGGATTACTGTTGTCTTTTATGCTGTTCATACATATTCACTCTTACAAAATACTGTAATACTGTATACAATACTGTATACTAAATACTGCAAACGTATGCAAATATGCATACACATGCTCAAGTTACATACAGTAGATCTTGATATAAACTTAGTGCAGTTTTACCTCTTTTGGAAGAGTTCCCCACTCTGATCTGTAGTTGTTGGTGTGAGCTGTAACCTTGCAAGGTTTCTACTTTGTTACTGAACTGTAAATACTATACTGAAAGTTGACATGAACCTTCATTAACAACATGAATTCAAGTATGTTTTCACCTCATTAATTTTAACCCTTTTTATCTCTCCATTCTTTTTTATATCTATAAATGTCTTTGTCCTCTGTCTTTCATACTGTCATACCTTTTAATTTCTCAGTCTTTGTACTCAAACATGAAAAGACAGAAAAAATGACAGAATGGATTTCACTTCTTGTTTTTGACGGACTAGCCCTTAAGTATTTACGAGAGAGGGAAGAGAATATAGAGGGAAAAAAGGAAATAAGACGTGGAGAGAAAAGTGAGGAAAGAAAAATGGAGAGAGCACAAAGGTAAAATGAGGAATTGAGGAAAAAAGAGGTAGAGAAGAAAAGAGAAGGCTAATGACAGAACAGAGAAAGAGAGAGACCCACGCTTCCTCCTTTCCTTTTTATCATTCCATTAAAGTTTTATATCCATCTTTTTAATGTAATTTGGTCCCTATGAATTCCTGCCGCTGCAGAACAGACAGACGGCTCCTGTGAACATAAACTCTAGCCGTGTTAGACAGCTCCCTTTCCTCTGTCTACTCCCATGTTCGCACTAGCTAAGTGATCTGAGAGAGAGAGAGAGAGAGAGAGAGAGAGAGAGAGAGAGAGAGAGAGTTATAGGGAGTATGACTAAAGCACCGTTTTGACAAAATGATCTTAGAAAGTAAGTGTGTGTGTGTGAGAGACAGAACATTAAAGCAGAAAGTGAGAGGGAAGTATGAAGGAGGAAACATTCTACAGAAATGAGTTTAGAGGTGACGACAGAACACAAAGAATTAATGTTATTTAATGAATGAGTGACTGCATTAATAAAATAATAATAACCCTACCTTATTTCCCAGGATTCTGTTCAGTTAGCTGTCGCAAAGAAATGTTGAAGTAATGTGAACATAATCACATTGTTATTTTGCATATCAAGAGATAACTAGAATATTACCTGAACATGTATTTACACATTGCTATTTTAATATACGTTCAGAGCCAGTGGGAAAATGTACATTTCTGAAAGTAAAAAACATGATTCCTCAGCAGTCAAAAAGTTGTTGTAATATGTTTAGAACTTCTTTAGCAGGTTTCTCTACTAAACCCAATCAGTTCTCACTGATTTGAACATTTTGACACGTTTCCACATATTTTTAGAGCCATATATTACTTTGCAGTTTTTAGTTCTCTTTCTGTAGTACATGGATCCATCAGAAGGTTACCTGGAATCAAGTAAATCACTCCAAATAGTCAACGTCTGAAAAGGATATTGAAATTTTTGAGTGATTGACATTTCAGGTATCGTGATGGTCGCGGTGACTTAAAGGCTAATGTACATCACATATAGTCATGATGTTATGGATACAAAGCAAGCTCATGACCTTGGTCATGCATCATCCCCTTTCTCACTGCCTCTTCAGTGTCTCCTAAAGCAGCAATGACATTAAGTAATCTGTAGAAAAAGTAAAGATATGAAATGCAATGTAAATTCTCACCGTATTACTTGTCACGTTTTGACACCGTGTCGTAAGCATCTTGATTACAGTAAAGCTCAGCGTTTGTCCTCATTATGACTCCTAGGAGCCTCGACTCACCTTCAAAAGCCCAGTCACCCACATGCACACGCATGCATGCACGGGACCCTGTGCGAGGCTAAAAATAATACCCTTTCTCGTCTCTCCAAATGGATAGACACAGATGTACACACTTACAATATGCACAAGAAGCTACATAACATGTATACACCCACAAGTACACACCTACACACACACACACACACACTCCTTCCTCCCTCCCCCTCTCCCAGCCCTTGTCAGTTGATTGTGTTATTACTATGCTAACCAAATCCTTATAAATGTGATTTAAGGCTTGGCGGCCCCGCGCTCCTGTTTTAGCCTTCTGCTACTGTGTTTTACTGGAGGGAGGAGGAGTAACGGTGGGAGGTGTGGAGGAAGGGATTAAGGGAGAGGGGAAAGAAAGACAAAAAGACACAGGGAATGAAGAGGTCAGAGAGGTAGGGGGGAGAGAAAAGGTGAGTGGAAGACGAGGGAAAAGAAGAGCAGTTTGGAAAGACAGGATGGGAGGTTGAAAAAACGGAAGAGTTGAGCGGCAAGGAGAGGAAGAGGGAAAGAGCGATAAGGACTCAGGAAACCAGAAAGAGAGGGCTTGCTACGCATTCCCTCAACACTCGTTCCCTCCTATCCAAGGAGCAGTAAAGCGTCGGTAAAATAAAAAAAGGGAAAAAGCATCACCTGCATCTTAAATGAAAATTTCAATTGAAAAACTTAACAGCCCTTCAAATTGCAGAATTTTACACGCGCCAGTAAAGCCTAAATAACACTCAACACTTAGAAGGATGGAGGGGGATGGGGGGAGGGGAGGAGAGAGAGAATGAAGGAGGAATGGGGGGGGGGGGGGGGACAATGGGGGTTATTTTGGGTTGTTGACGGGGGCTGGATCAAGGTGACTGGATTGTGTTTTTGCAATTGAGGACGTTCGACTTGCGATCTTCTTCTTCTCTGTGCATCTCATCCCGGTGTGTTATTTCATCATATCCGTTGGAGCAGACCAACATTTTGACAGACAGACAGGATATAGTCAAATAGACAGAAGGATGCAGAACGTTTGACAAATTAGACACTACACTAACGGGTAGTGAGACACCTGAACCCTCCACAAAGACGGACAAAAACGCAAACAGGCCGGCAGATAGGCACATAGACGGACAGGGAGACGGGCTCCTTGGTTATTCGTGGGGTTCAGTGGACCTTTGGTGGTAATTGAATCAGTGTGAGTGCTGAGTAGAGCCAGCATAAAAACCTGTTAACCCAAAAGGTCAACTCTCTGCATTGTTTATTTAGCAGGGAGACCAGAGAGAGAGAGAGACCACGACACAAAGCACGAGTAACGGAGAGAGACAGGAGAAAATGAGGAGAGGTGGTGGGGGAGAAGGAAGGAAGAAAAAACGGACAGAACGAGAGATGTAGATTAAAGAACGATGGGTTGTTGGTGGGACGATTTGTGAGCTGTAAAATCAACGAAGCTTTACGTCACGATTTTGTACTGTTGTTTATTTGTGTGGGAGATTAAAACAAGTGAGAGTATGTGAGACTAGCTGACCAGCTGCCATTTTAATGTATCTTTGAATCTTCACTTGTGATGTGCCTCTCTCTGTGTCTGACTTTATTATACACATTATATTATGTGTGCCTGTTTGTGCACACATGGTCAAACCTTTGGTCAAAAGCTGTTGTTTTTTTTTGGGGGGGGGGGGGGGGGGGGGGGTTTGCCTAATTTGCCATTAGGGGCCATCAGTAAATTCACCAACAAGATTTTCTGAAATATTTCAAGTTTTTAAAAGTGTTTGCCTTCTTTCCTTTTTTGTAAAAAAGAATATTGCTTGTTGTATGCTAATTATACCAGCAAACTCAGGCCATTTAAAAGATGGGAGACGTTCTGAAAAGGTTCATCATATTATCCAAATTAAGTATGAGGCAAACCATCTGAATTGTGATAAGCATTATACTCTAAGACACATTTTAAAGTTTTAGGAGGAGCATCCTGGGCCAACCACTGAATGTTAGTTGGCATCTCACTCAGTAGATGTTCTGCAAAATATACACATTCTTACACAACTGCTGTCTTGTGCACACGCGGGCTGACATGCACAACACATACACATGCTTGCACACTTTATCTCTCACACAGTCATGCACGCATACTCTCAACCGCTCATCTTCTTTCACCCTCTCTCTTACACACACATACCCACACACACACCGCCATCTGGGAAAGCCGTTAGCGGTTAGCGGTAGCACTTAGCGACGCAGCACGCTCCCTCAGTCCGCTCAGTCACCTTGATCTGCTTGCCCTTCACACAGCACCATTACTGCTATACTGCATCACTGTGGGTGTGGGCATGCGAATATGTGTGTCAGGAAGAGTATGTGTCTACGTATATGGACATGGATCTGTGTGTGTCCATTATAGAGCAGTACAGTGGGATGTAAATGCCGGGGGAGGAGGGTGAGGAGGAGCATTACCTTCAAATGAGCTACCCTGGAGTGAAAAATGCCTCTGACTAGTCTTGTGTAGGTTCTTATCCGGGCATGGACTTGTGCAGATCATGCGACTGTGTGTGTGTGTGTGTGTGTGTGTGTGTGTGTGTGTGTGCGCGCGCCTGTGGCCTTCTGATGTGCATCTCTGTCTGCCACACTTCTAGTGAGGATCATTTCACCTTCTGGACATTCAAGGCACTCCCAGGCACTGACGATGGCTTGTGAACATGAATAAACAGTAGACACAAATTAGAAATCTACTTGCTCTCTGAGACCACAGACCTGAAGTTTAGTGAATGCTACAAGTTCATCTCAATTTTTTATATTTTTTTAGATAGAAACTTATTTCATCAAAGTACATCACTTGTATGTATTATGGCCCACTTGTATTCCTCTTTGTAGTTATTTAAATTATGGGTCATATGAGTGTGTTTGCATGCATGTGTATGTCATATATTTGTGTTTAGCAAAGGCAGTACAAAGAAGTACTACAATGTTCCCAGCAGTCCAGCCGGGCCAACACATCACCTCCTGAATTCTTTGCTGAATGATGCACAGGCTAAATACAATATTGGTTTGCTGAGGAGGTAAACTTGTGAGAGGAAGAGAGTTTCCATGTTAATCCCTTGGATAGAAAAGGCAAAATCTGTCTTTGTCCTTCTAATGTCTTTCTTGACGTTACTCGTCAAATAGTTCTTTCGAACAGATCCTCCTTCTCTCTTTTTTTCTCACTCTCTTAGAAGCTCACACACAAAGGGTATATTTATCTCTTGCCTTTTTTTAAATTTATTTTCCTTGTCTCTTTATCCATTCTTTCCTTTTACCCCTAGGTCCAGGACCAGTAGACAGTCCAGCTGTATCCAGGCTCCATCCTCGAAGTGTAACAATTACTTGGGTTCCTCCCTCTCAACCAAATGGCATCATCACCAACTATACCCTCTATCTTTGCCCCAGCTCCACATCATCTTCTGATTCCAAACCCAGCTCAGTCTCCAGCACCAGCATGACACTTAACTCCAGCTCAGGTCGTAACCCAAGGCTATTGCCCAACACTGAGGGTGCATATCTCAACTCAAGCCATAACCTCAGGCCAACATCCAGTCTTACCACCCCAGGCTTAAGCCGCATCTCCATGTCCACTGTCACCACAGGCAGTAATGACAGCTCAAGCGCAATCCAAGGCACTAGACCCAACCTCCTCCCTCACCCTTTCTCTAGTTTGAGTCCTGGTAGCACAGACGACAACCAGATCGAGGCCACTGGTGTAAGCAATACAAGCCAAGGCCCTGCTTCCATCTCATTCCATCCCACTGAACCCAATAACCCCAGTGACAGCCCCATTTCTGGTTTCTTGAGTGCAGCTTCAGATTCACGTTCATCCATTCTATCAGTCACTCTTCCGGGGAACACAACTAGCTACACTTTCCTCGACCTACCGCCATACCAGACCTACAGCCTCCAGGTACAATATATAACATGAATACAATAGTATAATACAATATTGTACCATATAGTGCACTAGATTAAACATTATATTGTGCAATAAACAAACGTAAATATCATGTCATATTTAAACAAATGTTAGTCTCTATTCCTCTCTGATTATGTTATGACGAATATACAAATATATATATATATTTTTTGGCATTTCAATAATCACATGCACATCCACAACTGTTCTTTTTGCTATTGGTGATTTATTAGCTGAAGAAAATGTACAGCCTTTCAATGATGACACTACGAAGACATATCTCATTGTGATGTTACAAAATGATTCTTCAACATCTAGGTGGAGGCATGCACCAGTGTGGGTTGCTCATTGTCTGGGATGTCTCAGGACTTTCGTACCCTCCCAGCTCCCCCTGAAGGTGTTCCTGCACCTCACTTTTACTCTGACACCCCCACCTCTGTTCTCTTGTCCTGGGGTGCACCAGAGTGGAGCAATGGACCACTAGAGCAGTAAGAGACGATTAAATAGATACACTTCAATCCCTCTGAGACACTTTACATTTTACAATAATTATATTGGGTCCTGTGCTGGGCATAGGTGGCTGATTGAACGCAGAGTTACTGGGATCAAAGAAGTCTCCACAGTGGGCCATCTCCCACCAGACCCTCCCCCTCTTTCCTTCCTGGACTCTTCATCTGCCCTCAGTCCCTGGACTAGCTACCAGTATCGACTTGTGCTCCATAATCAAGCTGGCAACACTACAGGTGAGGCCATAATAATGTTCTTAACTGAAATTAAATTAAATCTGACCAAGATGTGTATATGTTTAATTTTACACTGTCTCGTGTCAGCTTTACTGACTTCGACAATTTCCAGCCTTTGTTTTTTCACAGTAGGATATTTAACCACATATTGTTGCATACTTGCAGGACCCTGGGTCAATGTCACCACCAGACCTTCTCGGCCAGCTGGTCTCAGTCCTCCGGGAGTGAAGGTCTTGGGGCCAGAGTCACTTCAGGTATGTACACTGTTTGATCTGGCATGAGAGCGTAAGAGCTCTAAAATATGGCTGCAGCACACAAATATAATCCAAGTCAGCCATGCTGCTGCTGATAGCACTTTATCAATATCAATACCTCCCATTACATTCAACAATAAACTCAGCATGAGCTTTAAGAATTTGAATAGTGGATAAGTTTCTTTAACAGGAAAACATACAATATATTGCAACGTGCAGAAAAGACAAAGCAATGTCACACTGATTCCTCTGCCTTTCTATCTTGAGATTTAATGAGAAAGAAAAACATTCAACTCAAGGTCCCCTTCAGAAAATGGGAGGGGCTGTGACCCTGTCTGAGGCAGCTTCCTTCCTGTCGGCCATTTTGAAGGAGGGGCCAGAGTTAAGTTCCACCACTGGCTAATCCCACATCAAGGCCCATCAATGAAAGCCACTGAAACCATATTGTATGCATGCACACACGCAGATACGCGCATACACACACATGCACTGCACTGTCCTGCACTAATGCTAACTGCAGAAAAATGCTAATGCCTGTCATCATTTCTAAACCGCCCCTGTCATCTCTGCAGCAGCACAGCTTTAGGGGTCATAGGTCCGAGAAGGAAAGTGTTCCTTCCTGGTTGTTGCTAATTGGACAGACAGGCAAGCTGCTTCCTGGTTACCAATTGACCTTGACAACACAGACAGGATTTTGAGTATCTCCCTTCATTCTCTAAATGGTTTATTTTTCATATCACTTCTTGCTCATCGAGGTACTTACTTTCTCTTAACCGTTATCCCGTTAGGTTTTCATTCCAGCTTGCTTTATTTGCTTGTCTTCTTGTTATGTATGGACACTCCCACTCAGGATATCAAGCCGAAGTCCACTAAATGTCGGCTTTTCTGATATTAGGATGGCATCTCGGTTATCCACGTCCTTTTGGCTTCACATTGATTGTTGTAATGCAGGTTTTCTTTTGGACTATGATGGGAAAAAGAGTTACTGTATGTGCAACAATGCAGTGTTCAAGGGTTTGGTACAAACAATTTCAAAGAAAGACAAGTAATGTCAGAGAAGATACCCACTCTAAATGTATGTATCTGCTTCTTTGTTAGTGTCTAATTTACAGCTCTAAGTGTTGTTGTTTTTATTCTCACTCATTGAGTCTCTGCAAAGATAGTTTGCCAACCTTTGCTGGTTAATTCAAACTTCAAATTTCACCATCAATTTTGGTTGTGTTTGGATCTGTCATCCATCGTAAATCATTTTCACTTTTTCACAACATGATTGATCCCAGTCTTTCTTTGCAGGATGACAATTTAGTGACCTAAATATAATATATAAGTGATAACATTGATGCATATATGAATAGATTGTAGAATTGTATTGTCAGCGGCAGATGTTGGCACTCTGTGCCTTTTGAGTTTTTTCTGAATATAATAGCATAAATGCACAGATACACACACACACACCACATGCACCATGTCCTAACACACACACACCTATTCTCTCTCACTACCAACTTTATTATCTGTCTCTCTCTGTCTCACTCATATACGCGTAAACACATTTGCAAACACACACACACACACACACACACACACATACTGTACTGGCCTTAGCCCCAGTGCTCTGTGTCAGCCCAGGGTCTCTGCTGTCTTCACCATCTCCAGATTACATCAGGCTATTCAATCTGTAAATGACTTCCACCACAAAGCACACCCAACACGCACTTTGGGAAATGAGCTACCTAACTCAACATGACCCTGCCCATATGTGGCTGTGTGTGTGTGGCTCAGAGTGTGCGTGGCTCAGAGTGTGCGTGTGTGTGTCCCGTATAGCCTCACAGTGTCACTTGTTAAATGAATATCAAGGTTGCATGAGAAGTAATTATTCTTGACGTTCATTCATAATACTCTCATCAACATTGACCACTTAATCACCTAAACTCTCAAGTCTCAACTAGCTCTGAACTGATCAGTTATTATACATGACAGTTTTGTATCCATAAGTGTGTTAGAGAACGTGTGTGTCTGAGTGGGTGTACGTGTGTGTGTGCATGTACGCAATTGTTGAATAAAGGTGTAGCTGTGTGTTTGCACATGGATGTATAAAGAAATGTATTGTAAAGATATCTGTAATTCAAACGTGTGTGTGTGTGTGTGTGCGTGTGTGTGTATTAACATTTGCATGTGTGCCAGTTACCTTCATCTTCACTCTGAAATGCTGACAGACTGAACTGTTTCCAAATCAGATGCAGTGCTCAACGACGGCAAGCTTTTGTTTTTGCATGCAGCAATTCCATTACCAGCCGTTTTCATTATTTTAGCATGGTGTTTGTGCATGTGCGCGCATTTGTGTGTGTATGTGTGAACCCTGTTTTAAATTTGATGAAAGGATTCTTCTGCTCAAGTCAAAGTCAGGTTATCTTTCCCCACAAGAGAGTTTAACAAACACAAACACACACACACACACACACACACACACAGAGTGACCATCCTAATGCTTTACATTCACATATACCCAGGTCACAATGTATGCTACTACCTACATGATATCACTGGTAGCACTCAACTGATCACACTTGCATTCTCACTGTGATGCAGATATGTGTTTGCCTGAGCACACACTGCAAGCTCTGCACACACGCACACACACACACACACACACCCTGTGCCATGACTTCCTGTAGTTCATCCATCTAAAAGCTTTCTGCCGTCCTCAGCATGCCGACAACATTTAGAATGCCCAGCCAACCAATGATATGACTCTTCAGGGATAATCATAAAACTAGGCCTTTACTTTTCTCTGTAATATAAATATATGTATTTAAATGAACAACCCAGAACTTAAATCTTAAACACATTTATGTTTCAGGTAACATGGTCGTCTCCTCTAATTCCCAATGGAGAGATCCATGGCTACGAGATCCGTCTCCCAGAACCCCGCATCTTCCATGACAGTGGCAATGCTTCAGAGTTCAACATCACAATAACGGACCTCATTCCATACACAAACTATAGTATTACTATGTTGGCATGTTCCAACGGTGGTGGACATGTTGGAGGATGTACAGAAAGCCTGCCCACGTCTGCTACCACTTTGCCCACAATCCCTGAAGGCCTTGAACCACTGTCTGTAGTGGCAGTCAGTGAGTCCTTTCTGGCCATTTCCTGGCAACCACCAAGCAGGCCCAATGGACCTAACATCAGGTAAGAGGGATATTACACAGAATCCATACCAATGTCTCATTGCACCAGGCTAACATGGCCACAAATCTGCTGACTGTAAGTTGTATATTAGTTAAACACAGATAAACAAAGGTGCACCATCACAAATTCCCTTGTTTTTCTGTCTCATCAACATTACAATCATCTTGCTTGTGATAATAATACCACTAGGTCAAGAGATTCTCAGTGATTTGAAATAACAATACCTTAAGAACATACATTTGGTTTGTACTGTAATGAAGACATATCCAGTTATTGGAGTAACATGTTTCGCTTCTCTGTAATCACATTATTTGACTGGTGTGAAAAACTATTATTGCTCTTTAATCACTGCATTGCTTTTACTGGCCCATTGAAACTTCTGTTAGTGTGTCGAACAAAACATGTAAAGAATATTGTTACTCATATTATATTAGGGGCGATATCACTGGAGGACAATTATTTTTCCATGGCTCACTGATCCATGTGCAGTCTGAATTTGTGTAAACAAGGGAAGAACATAACATACAAAGTGGCAGAGGAGGGATGAGAAGTAGTGTGTTTAAGTGGAAATACTTTTATTATTCAGATTTCACACAATTTAATTCACAAATATCACCATGAAATGTACACAGTATTCAGATTAACCTGTCCACATCAGCAATCTCAGCATTCTCACTATGGATCCGGCATACATACCTTCTTTTAAAATGCACAGAACCGAACAAATTGCTTCCATTGCTTTCTGATTGTCATAGGAAATTAACTAAGTGAGAAGAAGAAGGTCTATAATAGTTCTGCACATGCAAATACGCATCCAAAATCCAATACTAATTATGAAGAGCTAATATGAGTGGACCCCAATCTCTGTATCCATCGTAACTTAACATAATTTGAATCGACCCTCTGTTTTTATTCATTAGTTAAAAACAAAAGTCAGAAAACAGGCAGTGGAGACTGAAATATACAGCATGTTGGTACTGAGAGACGCATTCTGGAAAGGTTCAATCTTTGCTGAAAAACTTAGGCAAACCAAAAGATAGGAACACGTTAACAAACTGCTAACATGAGTGCCTTGGTAATGAGCTATGTGTTGTGCATGTTGTGCGGTGTTTTCTCAGTCCTTATGCACATTCTGCTCCGTGTTGTTCTGTCCTGTTCTATGCTGTCGGTGATTAGGCCTAAAATAAAGGTCCATTTTCCTGGCAGGCGATTAAAATGCATGAGCCTGTCTCTCTGTTCTGCTCCGCTCAGCTCTGTGTGTTTGTCTAAGTGGGTTTGTTAAAAGGCGGCATTAAGCCCTTCTCTTCTGATTACAGCAGAAATTAGCATCACTGTGGGGAGAGGAAAACACAAACCCTGCAGAAAAAAACAAGGGGCGTTGGGAGGGAGGGGTGAGATACAGTAAACGCAAAAGAATAGAGATGATGAAAAACAGCAGAAGTGGAGGAAATGAGTGATAAGGAGAAGAGTCGGATGCACATTGTGTGTGTGTGCGTGTGTGTGTGTGTGTGTGTGTGTGTGTGTGTGTGTGTTTTGTGTCCCTTTGCATTCATGTGTGTATTGCCGTGTGGGCACTGTGCGTCTGTGTGCTCATAATGGTGCATTTGTGAACATGTGTTGGGTGTTAATGCATTCCTAAACATCCAATCGTGTGTGTGTGTGTGTTTTCTTTTATTCAAATTTCCCCTTCAGATACAAGTTGCTCAGACGTAAAACCCACCAGCCCCTGGCCATCGCCACGGTCCCCACGGTAACAGCCATGTCCCTTCCCCCCTCTGAAGATCTCCATCGCTGGCTCCATGTTTACTCCGGCACCAAATTGTTCTACCAAGATAAAGGCCTAAGCAGGTGAGATTACTGAAATGAGCTCTAGAGCAAACGCCGGCGCCGCAGCAAACCGTGTGTGCAGAGCCGATCGGCGAGCTGCCGCTGATGCCGATCTTTTAATACCGCTCAAAGATACATTAAGCAAATATCCCAAAGAATTAAATTGTTTTTCACACAGAGTCCCCTAATCTCAGTTTGGCACTTGGTGGAAGCAAATTTTTTTTCCCCCTCTATGCTTGCTAAACGGCTCTGGGTGTACTCTTTTTGGGTTTGTGTCTACTGTGCTTCATTCAAGTAGTAAGCTGACAAACTTCTAAACTTGTCAGCACCTTGCAGGATTGTTTTTGTTGATATCCTAGAGAGTACTTTATGAGAGAGTAATTTGTGTTTGTTTAGTTGAAGTCACCACAAGGAAATTAAAAACCTATTAGCCGTGTTTCCATTCACATATATTTTTTTATTTTCATTTTGAAGTATTCCATTTGAAAAGCTGTATGGAAACAGAAAAATTCAATGAAACATCCTGAGAAAATGCACTAACCTCGAGCACAAATACGCTGTGGCTGAGTTTATTTGCTCCAAACAAGTTGATGGAAACGCGCCTAATTGGCATTTCTTTTTTTTCTTTTTTTTTCACTAAAAGTCGCTTGACAATTGAATGGAAACACGGCTAATGTAGTCTCCTTATTAATATCACCAATACTGTCTCTCAACAGATTCACCCGTTACCATTACCAGTTAGTGGTACATAATGACGTGGGCTACTCCTCAGGAGAGATTGTTACCGCGGTGACCATGGCGGGGGTTCCCCACCACCCTCCTTCTCTGTCTGCCCACGCTGTCAATCACACTGCTGTACATGTGACCTGGACCCAACCCTGTAAGATTACCTTCTCTCACACAAACACACACACAGTCGGCCCAGCAAAAGTTATTTCATGGTTGTATATTCTACGGAAATTGTTCTGTGACGTGTAAATTATCAAAAAGTGAAAAGTGACTTCTTTTTTTTTACATAGCTCCATCACTCGTCTCCCTCTCTCTTCATGTCTTCCTCAGCTTTGCAAGACCTACAGGGAGAGGTGGAATCTTACTTTCTGACAATAATGTCTTCCCGGTTAAGTCAAATCTTGGCTTTCCCCCCTGAGATCATGTCCACAGTGATAAGTGACCTTTGGCCCAGCACCACATATCTATTGTCAGTACAGGTGTCCAACGGAGCACATAATACAACTAAGGCAAAGGTTAACGTCACCACAGAGGATGGAGGTATGTGTATAATTGTGTGATATTTGAACAACAATTGATCTTAGAAATTAGGTCAAAATTTGCCTTCTTACTTCGGATATGTGTGAGGGTGTTATTGTGCACAATAATGTAAGTACAGTAGATATGAGTGTGTCATGCACACTATATAAATTCAATACATCCTAGACAGGGGTCTGTATTAATGTGCATTTCTCTCCAACTCTGTACTTCTCAGGAGATGTTAAACACATCATGTAGAGAGGCATGAAATCAATACAAAGTGTGTGTATGAGCCAGATTTAAGGTGTTGTAAAATACTTGTTGGCACCACACGCAGACTAACGCACACAGACTGCACACACAGCCACACACACACACAAGCAATGCTCTACCTGTCAAACAAGACAGCAAACAAAGCTGTTCCCATGTCTTATGCAGGCTATAATTACCATACTTTACAATACATCACATAATCTTTCTCAAAAAATAATAATTCTATGGAAAAAAACCAACTAAAATAAGTTAAGTTAAATGTTATGTTAAAAGTGGCAACTTGTACCAAAATATGCAGTGACCTCATCACGACAAACATCTTCAATAGAGTTCTCACAATTTTAGCTATCTCTGCATGATCTGTTATATTTGTAGAACGAACACCAGACTCTTTATCGGGATGTAAAATCTGGAACTTTGAGAGAGAGTATTAAATGGAAAATCAGTTCTCAGATCTACTGTTTTTTCCCTTTTCAGGCAGGGTCAGCTAACCATCATCACAACTTTTCTTACTATTTATCTCTCAAACGCACAGCCCAGTCTCTCAGCATTTAAGAGTTAGCTTTCAAATCACTCTGTGTAATCATTTGTCAGAGGCCGTTCAATCCGTCTGTTGTTTTCCTTCTGTCACGATTACCTTCTCAATCCCGCTCTCTCACCATCTCTCTTTCTCTTCTTCCCCCTCACAGTTCTCGTTCATTTTCAGTATTATCATATGTCAGAGGCCTCTCTCTTTTCCTCTAATCTGAGCAGTATAATAAAAAGTGCATTAAAAACATTAGAAAATCATTAGGTGCTAAAGGCAAAGCATGGCTCGTTTAACTGAGAGGGCTCTGGAGGTAATTTCATTATTTTACAGCCATAAGAGTGTGCACACACGCACACATATACACACACAGACCAAGGCCAAATGCACCTCAACCCTACCAACCATCCTAACATGGCCCGCAATCTATAGGGCAATGCTAACATCAAGACTAATTGGCAAGAAAAATGTGTGTGTCTGTTGTCTGTGTGTGTGTGTGTGTGTGTGTGTGAGTGAAAGAGGCTCAGTGTGCAGTATTGCGTTGATAATGCCATCCTGCAGTAAATGAAATGTAGAGCAGTAGGTTGGGTTTAGGTAAGTGCATTGGCAGCAAATGAATTGGGTTAACTTCTCTTAGCTGAGTGCATTTTCACTTAGAATAATAGATGGAGTCTGTATGATTACCTCTCTCGCACACCGTCTCGTATTATTTCCTTCTGCTTGGTTCTCTTTCTCGCTTTTCTATTCACAACCTGATCTCCATTGATGTTTGAAGAGCATTTTATACAATCAATGATACTGTGTTTTCCGTCTTCCACTCTTTGCCCACTGTATCTATATCTTCTGCTGTCATTCACTTCTTCTTGGTTGCCATATTAAATGAATCACCGTAGGAGTTTTCAGGAGTTATCAAGGACAAAGTGAATTTGATCGACAGGACAGTGAAAGACAGAGAAAAAGTGAGAGAGTGAGCTGACCATGTAAAGTCCATCTATTATTCTTAGTGAAAATGCACTCAGGTAAGTGAAGTTAACCCAATTCATTTGCTGCCCATGCACCCACCTAAACCCAGCCCACTGCTCTACATTTCATTTACTGCTAGATAACATTTGCAACACTGTACTGCACACACACAGGGGGTCTCCCTCCCTCCCTCACTAACACACAGACTTACAGTCATCCTGTATTATATACACAACGACACACATTCTCTGTTTCTCTCCGAGTCACGTGCACAAACGCACTTTGTCGTGCTGTACACACAATCGCATGCCTATAAGCTGTGTGTGTCCATGTCTATCTCTTTCCCTCTCACACACACTAATACATGACTCGTGTATATACACTTCTTGAGTGAGATATGTTAAAAGTGTATTCCAAGGTTGAGAATGTTGCATGTTATGGAATATCATCAGTGCATCCTGGGAACCTCGTAGTCACAACACATAGTTTTGACATAGCCGTTTTTTCCTGACTTTAAAAGGCCTGGCCTGATGATCACTTATGCAGCACCGTTTTAAAGATGTAATGGTGTGGTTTGTGTGGCAGTTATCAAATTAATTTGTGGGAAAATGTGTCTCTGAAAATCATAACACCAATCCCATCTATTGCAACGCTGTTCTTACTTTATAGTCTATGAATAGTCTATGTGTAAAAGATTACATCTGATGTTGAGAGCGTTGGTCTCAGACCACAACTTAAACTTGCATGTTTGAAGATGACCACATCTCGAATGTTCGTATCTTCAAGCTGTAAAACATTCTGTTCTTCTCAAGAATCAAACAATTGTGGTTTTTCTGTACTCGCATGTGCTATCCTCAGAGCCAGACGGGATTTCCGCCCCAGAGGTGGTTCCGGTTAACAGCAGCACAGTTCGTGTGCTTTGGTTCCCTCCTCTACGGCCCAATGGGGCAGTTACTGGTTACTACATCTACCTTAATGGCCGTCTTCATGGCAGTGTAGACAACAGCTCAGGCTCCTACCTGCTGGGCGACCTGCTGCCTTTCACTGTCTACAACGTACAGGTACACACACCATCAAAATCAGATATGCTCACCCAAACGCAGACACAGAAAAGCACTTTACGTCTGCTGTGTTTGTGTTTTTCAGGTGGAGGTCTGTACAGTGTATGCATGTGTGCGGAGTAATATTACTCAGACAACTACTGTCGAGGACCTGCCTGCCGACTTGGCCGCGCCACACGCACACGTGATCAATCCCAGGTAATGCAGAGATGTTTTGCAAATCTTTCTTTGCAGTAATTCTGTAACTTTCTGCATGGACTTTCTACTAATATTTTTTTAATGGAAATATTTGTTCATAACTATTTTAAAATGTGGTGGTCCATCTAGATTCATGAAACTTTATAGCTTTTTGGTTTGAGTGTAGTAATTGTTAACGTTTATCGACAGCGCAGAAGGTTGGTTTGTATGTTTGACAGGGTAGAATCAATACAGCTGGCACTAACAGGGTAAATGGTGGAGGTATTTTGTCTTTTGAAGGCAGCACAAGATGCTGGCAAGATTTAACAGGACTGTACGAAAATGTAATTTTACTCAGCACTAGTAACCTGTATATTAATAAAGAATAACATTATTTTAATTGTTTTTTTCACGTAATTTCAGTTGTACTTTAAAACCAGATTTTGTGGGCAAAGTGACGTTAACTATATTTATGACACAGTGACTGTTGCATCTATTCATCTTCAGCAGTCTATCAAGATTGAAATACTGAATACAATATTCAGTAGTAATTATTGATAAACCGTAAAAGAATTTTGGATACACTAATGCATCAAAGTTTTCTGACTATTTAATATAATCATATAACCTTAAAGTAGCTATCAAGATTTATGAAATATGACAGTAAACTGATATTTTCTTTGCAGTCAGTTGTATTTAATGACGTTTAAAATGCTCTGCTTCTCACATTTGACCTAAATCTCAATGTTGCAAATCTTACAGTGGCAGAGGAAGTGGTGATTTGTGGCTCATTTCCTGTGTAGGAGACTGTGTAAGTTGTAACTCTGTGAGTCACTACACAGGTCTTTCTCCTGCCAAAGATGTCAGAGATAAAAAAGAGAAAAATCAATAGTGAGAAGTGTATAAAGACACACACACTCTGACACTGTAACTCAACTTTGTCAGGCATTAACCATGCATGAATGCATGTGTGTGTGTGTGTGTGTGTGTGTGTGTGTGTGTGTGTGTGTGTGT